AACTGTCGAGTATGGGAAATTGGTATACGTTATAGCTTTGAAATTCGGGGTGTGCGATAGACTTACCTCCCCGTGGTGCACCCTGGGTAACGTATACTCATACGGCAAAAGTCTAATAACCTGCAGTTGACTTCTGGCTTCTAACTACCATCACCCCACTGCATGTCATATTCGACTTCTTCACAGTGCTCACTTCATCTTCCATTTACCTTTGTGTCTGTCTCTTTTACATCTTTAAAACACTCTTCTGTTCATCCCCCCTCTCGACTTTTCCGATTTGATGTTCCTCTTCCTCTGTGAAACCTGAAGTCAACTGAAGGGCTAATGGTAACTATCAAAAAGCCTACCATTTGGTATAAATAAATAAATAGCTTTGAAATTCTTAACTTGTTGATTTCATAAGCAAGAAACTTCCCCATTTAAATAAAGAAAATCATATTCAAACTACCCTGTTGCATGGGCAAATGGTATTCGCACATTCTTCGTATGTTCGGTAGATATCAAGATAACATTTATCCCACCTTTCCTCTACATAGGAGAAATGACATACCACCATAAATAGATTCGAAAAAGTAAGCTGAATAAATGGGACATTAAATTAGTGCACTCTTTTTGTGAAAGTAAGTAAAGCTTCAAAAATAGGGCCTTCTTCCTTTACTTCCTCCAGCTAATGTTTTGCTTAAACACTCTCCTTGGGTCCTTACGATTCCCAATGACCTGAAACTGTTTAAGCAAAGTGTTTTAGTTCTCACATAATGAGATCGGTGTCTTCAAAGTAACCTTGCCTCAGCGACGTTTTGGAAAAACCCAAAATAGGAGACTGGGATCGGTGTAGACTTCCACTATTCAATGCAACATCCCCCTTTCAGGGTAGATGCTATTTGCAAATAATTTGTGTAAGCTTCCTTTCAATCATTTACCACTGCTGAAATATATACATTTTGGAATCCTCTGAGGAAAATTTTTGAGTTCGGAATTTGACTGGCATCCATGTGTAATTGGCATGAATTTAGCCACTAAAGTGCTCAAATCACATTACCGTGAGTAGCCATATTTCCTATAAAACCAGGTAGGAATTATTAGTGAACTTTGGCGAAAAACTTATCCCACTAATGCTCTAAAAATTCGGGGCTAAATCAACTCAGACACCCCCATTTTTTTCTTTCCCTATCATTATGGAACTGTCTAGACATTACTAGTTAATTATCTGAGAAATGGAGACATGAGATGCATTATTCATGGGACATTTATACGTAGGAATTAATCATAACAATCTTTACAAGTTAGAGTTGAAGTTTTGGTGTCCCTAACATATATAACAATAGTTATTTAGACTGAAAAATTCAAATAAACGTGTATTAGCACGAACGTTAAACAGCATGAAGCTAAATCCTTCAGTGCCGCCATTTTAGGAGTCTAATAAAAGTGGGATAGATATTACCTCACAGGATTATTGATTTTGTTGAAGACTAGAAGGCGCAATTTCCTCTCACATACGAGGGGGGACCAGAGGTGGGAGAAGCACGAAGGGCTGATTGTGGTGTCAATCAAAGCGAATTAAGATACGCAAAGAGAAGTTTACTGGTTTTCGCCCTTTGACATTCATATGTAAAAAAATGAATCAAATGGCGACAAAGATGCTGCCTCCTCATTTATTTTACTGGTCAATTTGCACTGAACATATTGAAGTTTGATACTATTCTGAAGTTTTGAATTCCACATACCGACTAGTAACGTCGTTAGTAGTCAGTTGTGAGGATAATGGAAAGGCAGGTTTCCAAAAGTAAATATTCCCCCCCCCCCTCAATTAACCAAACAAATACAACTCGCGTTTCAGAATGTCTTGAATCTTATGAAAGATGGAGGTCATTGAAACCCCGCTCATTGACCCCCTGGTGAGATTATATTCAAATGTAGTACTTTAAACAAATTGACACAGGTCCGACTCTTGTTTTACTGAATAAAAAATTGCGCCACATAATTCCCTATTGCCCTAGATGTTTAAACCATCCCCCCCCCCTCAACACTGACACTTTAAGCAATTAATATTTCTGAAATTTATTTTGATGAGAGGGGTGTGCGATAGACTTACCTCTACGTGGTGCACCCTGGGCAAAGTATACTCATACGGCAAAAAAGTCTATTAACTGGCAGTTGACTTCCCACTTCAAACTACCATGACCCCACTGTATGTCATATTCGGCCCCTTTCACAGTACTCACCCCACCTTTGTCTCTACCTTTGTGTCTGTTTGCCTCTTTTACATCTGTGAATCGCTCTTCTCTTCCCCACCCCTCGACTTTCTGCTACTCTGATTAATCTTCCCTCTGTGAAGCCCGAAGTCAGCTAAATGGTAAATGATAGCTATCAAAACGCCTGCCATTTGAAATAAATAAATAAACCATGCAGTCATCTTTCAAATGACATAGAATTGAATAAAAATAACTCCGATATTGTTTTATTTTGCGTACCCGTTACTATGGGAGATGTATGACTACTTTTGGTGAATTAGATTGGACGCGAAATGGGCGAAGATGGCCATCTCGTTTCACTGAGAGTTCCATCATCTAAAGCGCTTTTATTTCTCCTGTGCTTCAACTATCGTCTGAATCTCAACTTAATTTTTAGCTAAGCGCATTATTTTCGTTTGCTAAATGTAAATAATCAAATATCAAATATCGTTACCATNCCCCCCCCACGCTAAAATTATTCACAATGCTATTTTCTCTCTCTCTCTTCCAAAGAGAATCACGTGTGCCAGGAATTCGTGACCCATAATTTGTCTTGGAATTAACAAGGCGAGGGTAATGCCTACTCCGACATACATCCTATTGGCACACAATTTTGTTTTATTGCATATGTATATATATATATATTTATTTGATTTTCGTGATATTGGGATTCACGCTTTTCAGTTAATGATAAATAACGCATTAAAATCTCTTGTTGGATAATCAGAGATCCTCTAGTAACTGGAAGAATTTTCATAGAAACTTCCACGTCCATGGTCAACTATGCTACTGATCTTCAAGTCCATGCATAGATTGACTAGGGGGGGGGGGAATTTGGGTCCCGCCTCATCTACAAGGATGAGCGCGAAAGCCACATACACTTTTTAATACGAATTGTTACTGGTCTAAGAAGAAGTGGATCGTTTACGTCAGCATGAATTGGGATAGACTGTGGCTATTTCTAAATCAAACGTTCATTCCATCTCCCAGGCCAGAGCTGACTCTTCGAGAACTTTTTTTTCTTTCGGGCTAAGCAGTTATAGGCGATGTTTATGGTTGTCAGCAAATTCGAGGACTAAATCAGGCATTAAAAGATAAAAGTCCATGGTTAGTTAAGATAAAAAGGCTACTTCATCGCATTAGCAATGCCCTACTCCAGTGTGAATAGACTTACCTCGTGGGCAACGTATGCTCATACGATAAAAAATCTATTGACTTCTGACCTCAAACAACTATCACCCCCCACTGTATGTCATATTCGACCCCTACCACTACTCATCTTACCCTTTCTGAGCCTTTGTGTCTGTTTCTTTTACATCTTTGAATTACTCTTCTGTTCCCCCTCCACTGTTTTCTCACTTTGATGTTCCTCCTCCCCTCTGTGAAGCCCCAGGTCAGCTAAAGGGCAAATGATGACTATCAAAACGCCTGCCATTTGATATAAATAAATAAATAAATCTCCCCAAAATATTAAGGATTTGAATCGAATGATTCTATCACATTCTCAACGTTCACCAGATCTCGCATCATCTGATTAAAACATTTTCAAACGCACTTTCGAAAACTTCTTGATCGAAAGGCTACGGACGCGAGATGGGAAATATAGTTGCGAATTAAAATTTCGAGCTAACGCCTTTGGCATATTTGTAACTTTTGGTCAAGCCTTGTGCTATAACGCCCATTGAGGCCTTAGAAATTTAAAGTAGTGATTGCTGTTTTGTTTCTTTCTTTCCAAAAAGGTCCTAAACGTCAAATGTCTTTCTCCTCCAGCTGTTCCCTCCCTCCACTCTATTTGAGAGGACCCATGCCTCTATATTTCTTTTTTTGTCGATCACTTTGGTGACTAGCAGTTAATTTCCTCACTCCCATCATGGAAACCCTAGTTAATGGTTTGTTAGAATTGCCTTAAAAGTATCGCAATGGAGACGTGCTATGTGGGCTGCTCTGTTATCTTTCCTAAGTCCTATTTCCTTTCAGCTCTCGTGTGTTTGAACGCGGTCCCACTCCTGCTGTTCTAGCCTCCATTGGTGCCACGCCTAAATCTCCGACCCTGTGTTGTGCACGTTTGACTGGAGCCACGGGAGTTCGAACTCGCTGTGCTGAGTGGTACTGGAAATGCAGGCTCGAGCCACTTCTCCTCAAGGTTGTCGCTCTTCTTCTCGCGGTGGCCTCATTTCTCATTGTCTGGAGTGAATGCACCTTCTTTGTACGCAATCCACGCCTCTCCATCATTGCTGCTATTCTCCACTCTCGGGCCACAATCTTGGAGTACAATCTACTTTCGGTAATTTCCAGTTTTTGTAACTTGAGTCCTTCGTGTGTGTTCTAATGCCAATTGTATTTCCTATTCATGTGCGTCTGTGTGGTGACACAGTGATTAGAAGTCAGGGATTACGGATTCACTTCTCATTCACGTACGCACATTGAGCAGTGAGGTGCTTGCTTAATATAAGTGATAATATTCATGTCTCTCTTTCTCTCTCCTTACTGAACTTTCGGCCTATTGCTAGAATTAGTGCACACCTATCAGCTGTTTTCTCACCTCCACATGTTATTGATAAGGCAAGTGAATATGAAAACGTCTGGTGTCGGCAAACTAGGAAGCGTAAAAATTTGAGACGGTGATGGAGGCCGTTATTTTGATACTCCCACAAATCTTCACCTAGAGGTCACCCCAGAGCTACTTCAACGTGTTTTGTGACTTACTGGCTTGTGTGTGTGTGTGTGTGTATTTGCAGGCTTTCACGTGGCAAACTTGTCTCTAATCTCTCACTGAGAATTATTTGAGCATGATCTGATTGTTTTGATTTGCGGCATAATTCTTTATGGAATGTATTCTTTTTCTTCCCCTCTCAGTTCGTGTGTTTCCTCTTCCTCGGTTACTTGGGCTTCTGCGTTTGCTTTGCGACTTATCGTCTCCGTTTCTTCAATTACTACCGCCTCGTACCCAATCACCACTCCGACGCCATCAGTCTCATCTTTTACGGATCGTATGTTGGCCCACTCTTCCCTTTTCATCGATTCTTTTTTTTCATTATCAATGTGAATTTGATTTATAGAGGTGGTGGAATAGTGTTGGCGTGGATGTATTAGTTTTTTTTGTAATTTCTCAGATATCAATGAAACCGAGCTGAGATATTTGTGTTCTACTATACTTCTCTCTGTGATAGTCAGGAAACCAGTGGAATGGAAATGATAATATTTGCCTAATTATATCGGTGTTTGGTATGAAGTGGGCGGATGGTCGTGGGAGTTTCTTTCCCCCCCCCCCCCCCCCCCCCCCCCCCCCCTCGAACCCCCATTTGCTACCTCCACTTCGTTCACCTCATTCCTTTTCTAGCGCCCGTGCTTTGAGCTCTTTAGTTACATTTTGAGGGCGCTTGTCTTCCTTCTGCTCTCTCTCTCCCCTAGTGAAATGGCTTGGCACTGTCTACTCCATTTTTCGATTGGTATTACCGTGTTACTCAATTTAGAACTTCAGCAAATCAAGCATCTGCACAGTAAAGCGAAGGACGTCATTGCGGATTACTGTTGGCAGGTGATTCTGCATTTGTGTTCCATACCAGTTGACTAGGAGTCGAGTTTTGGCTTCGTGTTAATATCAGTATTTGTACTTATGGCTTTTTACCAATGCGTCTAATATGAATTTGTTAAATGAGTAGTAGTCTTATGCATAGAAAACGTTGAGCTGGGTGGCTGATTAATTGCTATGCCAACTTTCATTTAGTATGCTCTGTCGGCTTGTCCCTTCTCTCTGCGTCAATTTCCTTTGCTTGGCCCATCTGGATAGCCATGTTCTTCAGAACACCACTCTACTCTCCGCAATCGCATCCAACTTTACGACTTCAGGTCTCCCTCTTGAAAGTCTCGTGACCGGGTCAGTAGTCTACGAGACAGCCTTCACTAAATTCATGGGCCATTTGGATGTTGTTCCCTTCATCGCGAATGGCTTTAACGTCTACTTCCCGATGGTGGTTGTCGTCCTTTGTTTGGTGACTTTCTTCAGTCTGGGAAGTCGATTACTGGCATGGTTTGGTATGCCCCAACTCCTGGGACCGAGTTTCCTTGATAAGCGAAGTCGATCGGTGGGAGAAGCGTCTCCTGTTGAAGACGCCATCGAGGATGGGCGGATGCTGCTCTNATTTATTTTGATGAGAGGGGTGTGCGATAGACTTACCTCTACGTGGTGCACCCTGGGCAAAGTATACTCATACGGCAAAAAAGTCTATTAACTGGCAGTTGACTTCCCACTTCAAACTACCATGACCCCACTGTATGTCATATTCGGCCCCTTTCACAGTACTCACCCCACCTTTGTCTCTACCTTTGTGTCTGTTTGCCTCTTTTACATCTGTGAATCGCTCTTCTCTTCCCCACCCCTCGACTTTCTGCTACTCTGATTAATCTTCCCTCTGTGAAGCCCGAAGTCAGCTAAATGGTAAATGATAGCTATCAAAACGCCTGCCATTTGAAATAAATAAATAAACCATGCAGTCATCTTTCAAATGACATAGAATTGAATAAAAATAACTCCGATATTGTTTTATTTTGCGTACCCGTTACTATGGGAGATGTATGACTACTTTTGGTGAATTAGATTGGACGCGAAATGGGCGAAGATGGCCATCTCGTTTCACTGAGAGTTCCATCATCTAAAGCGCTTTTATTTCTCCTGTGCTTCAACTATCGTCTGAATCTCAACTTAATTTTTAGCTAAGCGCATTATTTTCGTTTGCTAAATGTAAATAATCAAATATCAAATATCGTTACCATAACGACAAAACAATTTGGAAAATTTATTTTCGGATGATATTTTGCCCACAAAGGTGGACAAAATTGACAATAGCGGAGCCGATGTGAAAATCCAACGTCAAAAAGCTTTTGAAATCAGTTGAGAAAGTACTGATATCTAAATAAAGACCAATTAGGAAAAGCATTTTATTTACTCTATGTGAGTTGAAGCTTAAACTTGTTCGTATTGAATCTATTTCATAGATTTAAAATTTTGCGAGTTTAATGATCAGCCTTCTAACATATTGAGTTGTTCTGGTTGAAAATGAATAAGGAATTCATATGGAGGGTTTGAGTGTCCTGGAGAAAGAGAAGTATTATCCGTGAGTACTAGTGACGTTTGCCATATTTGAATTACATTGTCAGGGCTGCGAGAAGGCAAACTGATTGACAAGGCCTGATTATGACGGAATTGGCAGAAGCTTTTTGATTAAATCACAAAATTGTGACTTGGGATATTCGGATATTTCAATCGGAATTCAGGTAAGCTAAAAGTATTTACATTATATCTACATTGCAAACTTATTTCCCATTTCCGGTACCTTAGCAACGAGGTCATTTTGATATTTCAAAAAGAATAGTGGATTTTTATCGAATTACGCATGTTGGCTAAATCAGCCAATAATGTCAACACATAGCTTCCAATTCCAAAGTCCTTCCAAAATAATGACCACACTTACTCTCCGAAGAGAGAGGAGGAGTAGGGAGGGAGGGAAGATTTTTGCATTTTATTTAACAAAATCATAATTTTATTTTTTTGTCCTGGTGGGAGGTGCCCGCCACTAAGAGCAATGTTTTCGTGAGAAAAAGTAACGCTTGAAAAATGCGTTTTTCCCCTCTGTCTGACAGCCAGAGCGTGGATGTCTGCGATGTTGCAAGTCCCAAACAAATTCTTCAATATTCAGATGAAATTAAAATTCGAACTTGCATATGCTCAATGAATTTCTGTCCAATTAAATAAATCTCTGTAGTTAAATATATGGAGTTGGGAAATTTCGCTAAATTTGCCAACCACAAACCGTATTGCAAATAGCTTTCAATTTCATATTATTCGCGTCATCGCCCCATCACACAAGTCAATAACTAAATTTTGGACAAACCAGATTTTCCCATGAACCATCAACGTGCGAAATGAGGGACCTTTTTAACTTACTTCAGTAGTATGCTAAGGAACTAATTGCTAATATTGGTGAACAATATTGCTTTCTCTTGCGCCAATGAGTGGCTTTGATTTCTGATTTGAAATAGCTAGTGCAGCCTCAGTTCCACATTCAGATTTATCGATCGATTTTCATAAATAATGACTACGGTCCAATTTTGCAGATATTTAAAACGAAGTTAATTTGTTCATATTTCTGACAGACCGGCACACTGTTTTGACAAATTTGGCTTTTATTCTCTTGAGGATGGCTATTTAGCTTACATGCATGTTCATTTTTCAAATAGTGTAAACAAGATGACTCATTGAAGTTAACCTAATTGCCCAATGACGGGAATAATTATAGCATTGTAAAATCAATTGAATGATTAATTAGCCGGGATGTTTAGACGGGTTGACTGTTGACACGGTGGCAATAACGAAGAAATTAAATGAATGACATGAATTACTCATCCGTTAATCAAGAGTCCTGCCATCTGATTTTTCGGACATTATTAGTTTCTGGACAGAAGTCCATTCACGTCGAGTTCTGGGAAGGAAAAATTGTAATTTCCTGATTTTCAATGGCAGAATGAAAAGCTAAACTCGTGTGGATATTTTTGGAACGAGCGGGATTGGTTAAAAAGAATGCAAGTTGTTTAATAAACGTCTGAAAATGTATTTCGTTTAGCGATTCTCGTTAGTAAACACAGCTTTTTTGTCACCTCGCGCTGGTTGTCAATGTATAAATTGGCATTTGGTAGCCAATGCCTAGACAATATAAAACCTCCAATCTTGAGCCCAAGAGCTACTCTTGATATTACAAAGCTAGTTTAAGGAGCGATTTAACCCTTCAAGCCCGCTTATTATTAAAATCTTAAAGCTTGAAACAACCTAATAGAGCATAGCTCAGTCGATTTGATTTGAAGTGAAGTAAGTGTAAGCTGCGAGATTATGTAGAAGGAAGAGGTTTTCCAAGTCAAAATTGAATTAATCAACACCCACCCTTCCCAAGATGGTACGCATGGCATTGCCCGTCTTCTGTCTCTTGAACGAACGTCACTTATTCCGATTCCTCAATTACATGTGTTCTCAAATTATCCGAACTCTAACCACTGCAGCTTTAGATCTGAAGCAGAAATATAAGCGATCGTACCTTTCTTTAATTATATACCCTCAGAGCCTGAAGAGCACCGCGATGCTGGCTTATAACTCTACGCACTTTTGGCTTCCAGAAAAATGTTTATTTGATGATCACTGGCTGAATGTACAATCAGTTAACCTCTTCATCATACCCTAATTAGCCTATTTATCACAAACCTACTTCCACTCGCTCAGCTCTGACTCCTGTACCTTTTCCTTTATACACCCCATCCCCAAGTAATCTAATTGAACCTTGGTTCGCCGATCTTGAGAAAGAACTCCTGGGTCCTCTAACCCTTTAGAAAGAGTAGTACTTGTGGTGAATGCATATATTTAAGCCTATTTCAGCGGGAAACTAAAATTAACTCCACTGATAGGAAGTATTGGTAACTCAAACACCTCCGTTTCATGCACTTTCTTCCGAGCTTATATATCCAGTCTCAGGTATTACAAATATAAATTCATTACAATCGGTAGGAAAAGAAGACGAAGCTGTTGCTCGCTCACCGGTCAAGAAACAACTGTAGCGTCAGTCGTAAACTTTATCCGTGTATGTGCATAAGGCGCCCCCACCCATAAAAATGATGGAAGTCGCCATTTTCAGACAAGACGAACAGAGACAACTCATTTGTCATTCCCTTTTGCGCTGCGTGCGTCCGTTCTCTCTCTCTCTCTCTCACACCAGCGAACAATTTTTGTGGTCTGGTCTCCATTGTGCCTTTCTGTCTAGTCAGACCCACGACTGCCTCCTCCCTGTCTAGCCACCTTCTCTCACATAGTGGGGTAAAAAAGTTCAGAGCCAGCGTTAAATCATTTTTGTGTCCGTACGAGGCATATGTGTGTGTGTGGGTGTGTTAACAAAGTAGAAAGATCGATTTGTTCGTTTATTGGATAGTAAGGCGGAAATGGGGTTGTTCGTTTAATGGTGAGGATATGTGGGTTGTTTGCACTGAGAAACGTCAAATGTCATCTTAAACATGGGAGGGGAAGCTGGGAGGTGTGGGAAGGAATGGGGATGCACCAACTTATTGCAGTTTGCTTAATTGATTGTTGCGGGACTGATTGAATGATTCAATTTGGTCATTGTTAATTAAATGGATGAGATGAAGATATGAAATACAGTTTAATTGTAGCTACCCTTATGAGAGATTCACATGCTGCAAGGAGGTTTGTTCCAGCGTACAAAACAGACACTCATTTCCTTCTTGAAACAAAATTATGCGTATATTTCCCCTTTTCCCCTTGACGGTTCGGCATCAAACAGTTTACTAGTTTTTCCAATTCAATGGAATAGGGAACTTCAAAGGGATTTTTTTCTGGTTAAGGTAAGGCTAAACTCCCGTGTCCATCAAATCTTAATAACTAAGCAGCAATTACGTTTCGCGTGATACAACTGGAGACATTGCATCCGAAGTTCCAGCTGTCTATTGGTGGAGATTTAATGCCCTTATTCCTGGACAGTCTAATTAAATCGATCTTGTTTAATCAAAGTTTTCATTATTATTGTCATAATTAATGTAGTCCACACCATGACAAAGCGGATGAAATTGAACGAACGCACATCACAGCGAGGTGGGAGGAAGGAAGAGAAGGGGGAAGAAAAGACGCCGAGAATAGGTCTGGATATCAAATGGACTTGAATCTACTTGATGCTTCATTATTTATTACAGCAACTAAGTCAGTTACAAATGACGGTCTTTGGCTATTGGAAAAGACGATTTCCCGAGTTGGAATGATCAAACACTGAAATGAATAAACTGATTGATAACTTCGGATCAGGTTAAATTCATAAGTTGTGAAAATCAGTACATTATTGAGTGAGTTATTCGATTGATTCCATATGGTAAACTGTTCCATATTCGGCTTGATCACATGTAATAATGTTGCTATCTATTGGGTTTCATTATTAGAAAACAAAAATAGTTTGAATTACGGTTAATTAATTAAATAGTTAAGAGATTCGTATAACTAGATGAGACTTGGCCAAAATTATGTTCATTTCAATTGTCATTTCCCGCTCCACCAATACCGGCATCGTCCATTCCTGGTGGGGGGG